TTTCTGTTTTAATATTTAGATCTTTAATCCATTTGGATTTTAATTTAGTGCATGGCGAAAGATAAGGGTCTAATTTTAATCTGTGACAGGTTGATATCCAGTTTTTCCAACACCATTTATTAAAGAGGCTATCTTTCCTCCACTGAGGATGGTGAGCTCCTTTGTCGAAGATGAGGTAGCTGAGTACATCTGCATTTGTTTTTGTGTCTTCCAGTCTGTTCCATTGATCCTCAGGCCTATTTCTTTGCCAGTACCATGCTGATTTTATCACAGTGGCTTTGTAGTATAGTTTCAAATTGGGAATTGTTACACCTGGTGCCATGTGACTGTTGCCTATAATGGCTTTTGCTATTCTAGGTCTCTTGTGGTTCCAAATGAATTTTTGGATTCTTTTTTCTAGAAGAATTTTTTGTTTTCAATGTTGGAGTTTTCTAAGAGCTATGAGAGTTAAGTGCTTTTATAGGCAGACATCCATTTTATGTGTGTGTGTGTGTGTTTGTGTGTAAAATATAAAACACAGCAATCTCAACATTGTTTGTGCTAGAAGTGTGCAGTGTTCTTTCCTTTCATCTCTGCAGCTAGCAAAAAACAAAACTACAGGTTTTCTTTTTCTCTAAAAATTGGGTGCAGGGTGCAGAATCAGAAGAGGAAAGAAAATTTCTTTGGATGGAGTGCAGCTAATGGATCTGTGGGAAGAATGTTTTTGCAGATGGTATACCCCTATTGGATAGGCAGTGCTGACCGTCACTGGCCACAGACTTGCCAGGTTACTAGGTTTAAAGCCCATTTCTAAATTCTTCTGGATCTGCCAGTGGTCACTCTGCAAAAAGTCTTATAAAAAGAGCAGCACCTTCTCTCCCTTAGTGGGTGTCACTTCTTGTAACATGAAAAACAGGAGATGGTCTGTATACTTGTCCTTCCTTTATTTTCTCAAGCTAATGGATCAAGCTGGAAAACACCTAGTCCATGATTAATCAGTTAGCACTTTCTCCATTCCTCTGGCCCAGCAGCACCCCAGCTCCTTGACCCTGGCACCAGGTATGTGTGGTGCCTGAGCTGCAGTGTCTAACCCCCACAGGTGCTCAGTGTTGACTCACTAGCACAGATAGCAATGCACATTTGTACCAAGCAGGAAATGAAAGAGCGAGAGTGATGCAGTGGAGCTTTCTGGTAGCATTAAAAGCTTCTGATTGAGAAATGCTCATTGACTTCTGTCTGCCTGGCTAATAACAGAGTTTATTTTTTAAAACATCAGCCTGCCTCTTGTTTCACCCTGGGCTTTTTATAGCAAACAGTGTGAATGAGGCCAGAGCTGGCCAGTGAAGTCTGGAAAATTGACAGCCTAATTTCTTCTGCCTTTGCATAGAGAGGCACATTTCTGTACCCCTGATGTCTTGTTAGCAAACTCTGTGTTGCAAGTGTCCTCATCTGGCTCTCAGATTTTAAAAAATTGAGCATTTACTTTGCTTCAGGAACAAGGGAGTTTGCTGATTCTGTAGCTACCATTCTCAGGTAAGTGGAAGATTTGAGCTATGTCTTTAAAGCAAACCACTTCATACCAGTACTACTGAACATTTGCTTATGTATGTTTTTCAGTGGAGAAATCTTCATGAAATGGTTTATGATTGATTTGGAATATGTGGAAAAGTCTTCCAGCAGGGCAGGGCCTAGCTAATAGATATATATCTTATAGGCAGTTTGTTTCTTTATAATTTGGAAATGTCCAAGTGGGATGGTGTGTAAACATTCCAAGGTCGAGCTCATGTCTCAGTGGGAGAAGGAGTCAGGCTAAGGGAGGCAGAGGGTGATGTACATGCAGGACTTACTCCTGCCTGTTGACATGGACAAAATTCCCACTTGTTTCTTTCTGGTTCTTCTGAATGTTGTTCCTCAGGCATTTTTGTCCTGGTGTGTTTCTTTGTCAGTGCTGCTGCTTTCCTCTGACCTTGGTTTTAGTGTTGTCCTGGCCTACATGCTGAGAATAGAGTTAAGCACTGTTTGGGGACCACGTGCAGTCAGTGGCCTCCATGTTAGGTTTTAGGGGTACCAAGAAGTGATCACTGGGGATTCCCTTCAGCAAAGTTGAAAGTGGGTCACAAGGAGCATGAAGGACAGATGTGGCTGGCCCAAGTGTGGGACTCCTGGCATCTGGTCCCTTAGTGACCTCTAACTCCTTTTCTCCTTCCAGAATCATCGATCAGCGATTTGAGAAAGTTTCCTACTTTGTCTTTGGTGATTTCAACTTCCGCCTGGATTCCAAGTCCGTTGTAGAGGTAGGCACACAGCTTCCTCCTCTTAGCTGGTACTGTGTTTTCTTTTACTATTTAATATTGAAAAAATAATGAAAATAGTGGTGTTCTTTACAGGCAACTTCCATAACATCATTTTTACTAATTACATTTTTAAGGTTAAAATTTCCAATAAAGAAATATTTTTTACTTTCAGAAGAGTCTTTATTGGAATTAGAGACAGATTAGAGCCCCTCGGAGCTGGTTGATCAGCTGGTCTGTAGCTTCTGGACCTGAGGTTAGGCAGTTATGTCCTGCAGGCTCTGGGGTTCCATCTCAGAAAGCAGCGGAAGGCTGCCGCTTAGACAAACTGCAAAGCTGGGCTTATCAGTCTCCTATTTTCTGACTATATTTCAGTTGGTTTTCCTCATTACACACTAAGGAACTATAGAAGACTGCTTTTAAGTACTTGGGAGGCTGAGACAGGAGGATTGCTGTGAGTTTGAGGTCAGCCTGCTCTGCATAGTACATAGCAAGATCCTGTCTCAAAAAAAAACCCAAAAAATGAAAACCCAACAAAAGGTCTGCTTTTAATTTTGTACATATTTATCTAAAAACCTGTTTCATTTGGTTTAAGAAATAATTTCTGGCTTTTGATTTTAGGGAATTTGGAGGCCTTGCTAGCTCCTGGGGTTGCTCATAGGCAGGCACCAGCTCCCTGGGGGCTGTGGAGTAAAGCTGACAAACCTTGGCCCAGGGGCTACAGCATAACTGTTGAAGTCAGAAGGAAGCTGTGGCTGAAAAGTGTCTCTGAGGAAAGTGGGTCTCCTGGCATGAGCACAAGGCCCACCTTTTCTCTGTGGTGAGGTCTGTGACTGTGCACACCATCCTTATTTCTGGCTGCTCCTGGGTGTTCTCTCCCAATTCCATGTGACTGTGGGACATACCACCTTCTCAGGCAGCTCAAAGGGGAGGTGCAGAAAAGTGAAGTGCCCACTGCCTCGTGGCAACATCTGCGTGCTGAGGTATGTGCAGCAGGATGGGCAGATCCTCTGTCCCTCTACAGGTGGTCTTTAAAGTGCTTGGCATAGCGCATGGCACGCACTAGCTAAGTCACATGTGGGCCACTGTGAGAACCACATGAAGACACACGGTACCTGGAGTAATTATCTTCCCATTAGTAGTCTCAGTTCCAAATACTGTCACATTAATCTTCCATCCTCAGTAGAAAATTATTAAAGACAGAGTCGAGCAGCCTTTTGTTTGTCTTGTATCTCCCTTTGGCTAACAGAAATGAGTAATGTGCTGTTGAAATCCTTTTTCTTTTTTGTTTAATTAAACTGACAGCATCTCACTTGGCAAGGCCTCACAGCATACATGTGTGTAAATGTTTGGCTGTGCAAGTTGTTTCCCTGGATATTTGTGGCTCCTAGTAGGGATGCAGCTTTACCCAACTATGGAGGAAGAAGGAGGGCTGTGGAGACTACATACAGCTTTTAAGACAGATAGGTTTCCTCTGTCCATCCTACTGGCTTATCATCTCTGCTTCAAGGTTGGGAAGCTTCTCAGTCTGGTTTTGGGATCCTTGAGAGAGTAAGAGCTGGGCCTATTCTCTGGAACTCTGTTGTTATGTCTGATGCTATTGACACAGCAGGATTCAGGGGACTTTACCAAAAGGTCTTTCCATTCAGACTAAGCCACCTGGAGCTGAAAAGCCATATTTCCAAAACCTTAAATCTCTTGCTTCTAAACCCCTGAGCTCAGCCTCTGGCTTGTTGCTTAAGAGCAGCACCTCTGTTGCATACAGAATGGCTTCCACACCCTCCCAGAAGCCTCCACTTTGAGCTGAGGGTCCTGCAGAAAGGTAAAGGACCCTTAAAAAACTAAAGCCAGTCAATTCATGATTAGGAAAAGGTCAGAGGAAATTCAAGAGTGGCCTTTTCTTCCCAGGTTGAATAAATATCACAAAAGGGCAGCCACTCAATTGGTCAGGACTGGTACCAGGTGAGCATTCCAGATCTCCCCTTTTCCTTCCCTTCAGTTTCTGTGGGAGAACAGTTTGTCTGTGACAGGATGCTAAACAAGGAGGGGTGGTTATGTCTCTGGGGATCCCTGGGGACAGGACTGTGCAGGGGTAGGGGTAATTCAACTGAAAAACTATGCATGTTTGAAGGAGCCTTGGGGTCAGTGTAGTGCATTAGCTGAAAATGCTACATTTTTATGACATACCACCTTGGCCCTGATCAATCCCCTTAAGCAACTTTGCTTTGTCTCTGAACTGGTCCTGTTTCCCAGGGACAGGGGATCCTGGCCCACAGGTTCAAATAGTAGAACATTTGCAGATCTAGTCTAGATGGACCCCATATCCTGGGTGAGGTAAAGCAGAAGGGTGAACACAGAGGGAGTGCAGTCTCAGGATGCCAGCTTTTGCTGGTTTACAGGTCTGGGACCTACCCTAGGGTCACCCAGGGCAGGAAACCAGGAACCACTCTGTCCTTCCCATCCTTGGGGACAGGTTGTGGTAAAGGAACCTCTTCTGTACATCTTCAACCCAGCTTGAAAAGGAGGTAAAGATGGAAGGGGGGGTACACATGGAGATGGAGCCATGATGGAATGAAGAGAGTCACCTCTGGGTGTTCTTTGGGATGAAATAGACTTTTCCAATGCAATATTCACATCTTTAGCAGTCTACAGAGAATTCCACAAGTCCTAATGGTCTGTGTTCCAGAGGCTGTTCTTTGCGCATCCATAGACTTTCCCAGCAAGTGCCACATTCTTCTGAAAGTCCCCACAGAACTTTTAGAACTTCTTAGCTTTGACTTCTTGCAAAGTCACTGGACCAACTTCAGTATCTAATAGCTGTCTTCTCCAGGAACACAGGTACCTTTCCACCTCATGATTTTTCCATCAGAGCTCCTTGAGACAAATCAGGAATTATTTGAAATGCTGATTTTTTTAAGTATAAAAATTTACTTAGTATAAAAATTTACCTGCCAGGTATGGTGGTACATACCTGTAATCCCAGCACTTGGGAGGCTGAGGCAGGAGGATTGCCATGGGTTCTAGGTCTGCCTGGGCTACATAATGAATTCAAGGCCAGCCTGAACTACATAGTGAGACCCTATCTTAAAGGAAATTTAGGAACTGAGTACATAATACATCTATTTGTCTGTGTAATATGCATGGGACTACTTAAGAGCATGCTGTTCATATGCAAAGTATAAAAAATTTCCAGACAGCAGGTTTTTAGACAAGGTACAGGAGTATGTGTTTGTTTATATTCTGTGGCTGTCCTCCTGACCTGTCTTCTGGGCCAGCCCCTATAGGTAGTCAGGGTCCTTAGAACCCATAGAAAGCAGTGTGGGGCAGGATCCACTTCCTGGACTCCCAGAAGAGTTACTGGATTTTATAGCAGCCATTGACTCATAGAACTGTCCAGAACACTAACCAGTAGGTCACCTCATGAAAGGTAAGACTGAGCAGTCTGCAGTCCTGACCATGTGTCACTTACCAACAGGTTTGTTCCTGTCTGCCCAGTATCTCCCCAGGTCTGCTATAGCTCTCTGATGCTGCAGCAGGTCATTTTGTGGAGAGGGGATTTCCTGGATGTGGAGAGAGGTGGCTTGCAAGGACATATTCTTTAACATACTGAAAGCTTGTACTTCGCTTGTAACATTATAGAAGATGATGAAGTAAGAGAAGGATATAGTGGCCATTTCCAGAACCTCTAAGTTTTGCTGCACCCTCAGTGTAGGATTTCCCTGTAGAACCTCAAGGACAAACTCAGACTGGCATCACCACAGACCCAGTTCACCAAGGTGTTGTCCACATCCTGCCAATGGCATGTGCCTCTCTTCATCTGCCCCTGCACAGGGCACTGACTGATGCAGCTGGACCACACATGCCATATCTGCAGAACAGGTAGCCATGAGCACTTTGGGTAGCAGAGGAGCTAGATTTCAAACCTTTCTTTAGCTCAAATTTTACAGAGCTACAGAGCTTGGAGGTTTTCTGCAGAAAGATCTACGTGATTTTTAGCACAAATGCATGTCCCTTGTTGCAGAAAGTATTCTGCATGTACTGCTCTCCTGGTTGCCTGGAATTCAGCTTCCTCACCTTGGAACCATAGCTCTGAGATGGGGTCTTCAAGCAAATGCCTAGTTATTCTTCTTAGCACCCCAGATATAGTACCATTTCACATGGGACATGAGACAGTGCTGTGTGGTCTGCTGTGCAGATTCCCATGGAAGGGATGAGCTGAAGTTTCTCCAAGTGAGGGGATAGAACTGAGAAGATCAGAGAAGTTTCCCCTGGGATGACCACACTACTACTACTACTACTACTACTACTACTACTACTACCACCACCATCTCCCCACCACGGCAGGTGCAATTGTTTTAAGCAACAGGAAATTAGGATGCCTGCCGGCAGGTGTTAAACAAAATAGAATGAAAAGGTCCTACAGATCGCACAGGGTGTGCTTGTGGAGTAAGGGGACAGCACCTTGTATGGTGCTTTCCTCACTTGCACTCAGCCTTGTGTGACACAGGAGGAAAGTCGAGTGTACTCTAATCACTCTGTCATTGCCTGAGGCTGTAGTGAGCAGCCTGAGTTATCTGCAGAATGTCACTTCTTAGACACCAGGATGGGATAGCATGTCTTAAGTAGCAATAACATCCCTGAGGAAAGCCCCCCGCCCAGATGCAGGTAATGCTCCCTAGATAGGTCTTATAGGCAATTGGTTACTTGGCACCTGCCTGCAGGCTACCTGGTGACAACAGCTGTTCATAAAGTTGTTAGATTCAGATTTATGGCCCCTCACACATGATGAACCCAAGACTCTTTGTCCTTGATATTAACCTGGCACTTGCAAAAAAAAGTAAGAAGAAAATCAGTAGGTGGATTTTTGCTTAATAAATAAACAAACAAATGTGTCTTAGATCCATGCACTAAGGGAAGAGTTTTTGTGGCTCTTTTTAAACCTATGGATAGATGTTGTTCCTTTCCTTAAATAAAAATGACCTTTAATGATGTTTTGCACATAG